CAGTAGTCTTAATTTTGAAATAAATCATAAAACCAAAATTACTGTACAGTTGGTGATGTTTCTCACATGGAATATTTGTAACAATATAATTAAGTAGAAAGTTATGAAGAATTACTCTTCCACAGAGGTGTTTGTTATCAACAATAACTATTTTGTTGCATCTTCATTAGCTGCAAAATATATATATATATCTACATTTTAAAAGCATAGTAAGTTTAGTGATTTTATTTTTTACCATGAGACACTGTGCATATGGTTTTAAATGTTTTAGGGGCACAGCTGTGAAAAATTCTAAAACCACAATTGTTTAGTTTGATGGATTTTTTAACATTTTTTTGTTTTTGAAAAGGTTATTGATTGGACTTGATTTTTAGAAGGAAATGTGTTGCTATAATCAATTTGTATGATGACGGACTATCTGTGGAGAAAAAGGTTTTCCGTCACAGCAAGTGGGAAGTTAGTTCTGCTGAATGGAGTCCTCATCACCCAGATATGTTCATCTTAGCTGTGAGTGTTGATTAGTTTCCTCACAATATAGCATGCACAAACTGTACTTTTAAAGAGACTATACAATTACTATGAAGCCTATTAGTTTAACAATGCAGTCAACTCCTGATTATTCATGTTGCAGATTGTGCAGAAGATGAAAAGAAAAGTATTTTTTTTATCATTTCTTTCTGCACATTGACAACAGCATCTTACTGCATGTTCCTATAACTGTCAAATCAAGGCTTAGTCCCATACAGTAGCTTTAGTGCATCTTCATATTATTGTGTGGCATAATTAGTGTGGCTGTATTATTGAGCTGTGATAGGCCCTAGTTAAAATGACAGAAAAACAAAAGAAAGTTGTATTGATCATAAAAACAAAAACTTGAATTGATTTATAATTAGAGAAATATGAATTTGAAGCTAAGTTAAAGAATGTGATATGTGTACAAACTGTTCAGGATATAAAGAAAAACAAGCAAAAGTTGGTTGAGTTTGCATTAAGGTCTCATAGTGGCAAGGGACCTTTTGAACAAAAGTTCATGAAAAAGTCCAGTATATGAAAACTTAGATGTGGCTATGCTTTAGTTGTCCAATCAAAAATGAACAGCAGGAACACCTATCTATGGACCTGTATGTGTGCAAAGCAGGCTAATGTTTTCCACAAAAAGCATTAGGATTTGAAGGGGAAACTGGGTTATATTGGAAAGGCCTATCAACCTAAACCCCTAGCTTTTGACAAAGAAAGGCATGTTTGTGGATACAATCTCGGTAAGGAATGTATTACAGTCATACTTTGGGGATGCAACTGGGAATCACAAATAATAACTGATTGATCATTTAGAGGGATTAAAGCTAGCAATTTTGCCTGTTAGTTGTTATAATCAATAAGGAGGATGGATGAACAGACATTTTTAAAGAGTGTTTTCACAAGAAGTTTGTTTCTCGAGTACAATATCATCTTAAAAGTAAAGGCCTGCCACCAAAAGCCATGTTGTTGTTAAATAATGCCAGTTCTTGTCCAGAGAAGACATTTTTTATCTCTGTTGATAGCTTCACTTTTGTCGATCGTTTGATTTCAAATGGCATACTCTTAATTTAAACCGTGGTTCAAGATGTCAGAGCGTCAATGAAACATCACTACCAAGCTGATATTCTCTAGACTCTTATTGAAGAAGATGCTTATTTGATGGAATTTGAGAAGTAACTGATGATATTAGATGCAGCATATAATATTTCTCAAGTGTAGACAAATGCAAAACTCATAACACTTGTTTGGTCATGGAAAAACATTTTTCCAGATATAAAATAAATTGATTTAAAAGAATTTAATGTTGAAGAAGTCAACAATGCTGTGATAGTTGCATTCCAGCATGGTGTCAGTGTACATGTACTTGAGAATGTGGATAATGAGAATCTGATGGAATGGTTTTAAAGTAACATGTGTGAACCAGGTTTTGAACATGAGTGATTCTGATATTGTAACTGTAGTGCAGCAAGAGGGGGAGAAAGAGGACTACAGCCATAAGAGAGAGAGAGAGTGAAGTAAAAGAGCCAGGTGAGCACATAAGTGAACAGTAGGGCATTGCAGTGTCTTGAACTGGGACAGTGGGGGTTTGATTACAATGATATTATAACAGCCTGGAAGGTCAGAACAATTATGGGAAATAATGCAGATAATTCCACTAAATAAGCAAAGTTTACAAACTGTTTTATTATACTGTGTCTTCTACAGTGTTAAAACGTAATTTTAATGGAGATTTTCAGTTTATCCATTTTAATTATTTGTACATCCTTTCCCCTCCATTACCCTGAATAATTGAGAGTTGACTGTATATGTTTATATTGTTTGTTGAAATATTGTAAGAAATACTGGATTAAAACTTATTGCCAAAAATTATCAAAATTTATTTAATATAATTCTATTTGTCTTTTAATATACCAGTATACTATCTCTAAATTAAAATAAATCTATTACAGTGCAACCAAAGGGCTGAACTTCTGACTTGGAAAGATGGTGAATTGGTATCCCAGCATTTTCTTCGGCATCATACACGTACAATCAGGTAATTCTTGGTTCATCATTTTATCAGGTTAGTTTCTGGCGCTAAATTACAGGATTGAGCTAATTTTTCATTATTAGCACTGTAAGAAGGAACTTGTTTATTTCTGAACTTCTGACTTGGAAAGATGGTGAATTGGTATCCCAGCATTTTCTAAGGCATCATACACGTACAATCAGGTAATTCTTGGTTCATCATTTTATCAGGTTATTTTCTGGCACTAAATTACAGGATTGAGCTAATTTTTCATTATTAGCACCGTAAGAAGGAACTTGTTTATTTCATGTTATTTTAAAATCTTAATTGTCCCTTGTTTAAAAAATAAATAACGTTGAAATATTTTGTTTTGCTTTATGAAATTATAAGCAAAATGCAATTCAATTTTCGAAACCAAGTCAAAACATTTATTTACTTTGATAAAACTTGATTTAATGAAAAAAAGTTCAAATTAGGTCATTTTTGTAATTAATTTTAGTTTTTTATAAGATGTGACCTGTGATTTAGTGAGATTAAGCATATGAAAATTGTGCACGTTTGTTTTGGTGTTATGTTAAACTTTGTTAAATAGAGAATGATGTTTTGATTAAATAATACTGTTGTACTACATATATGGTAGAATAATGTGTCTATACAAAATGTATTATCAAATTATTGACATTTAATTTATTTATAATTCTAGTGATATCAACTGGGCTGTTTTTGACCCCAATGTCCTTGCTACAGCTTCAATTGACACATTTATATATCTGTGGGACATCAGGTTAGTTGCCATTTTGTTATGAAGCTCTTAGAGTAAATATGGTGCTACTGTAGCATGCAGTGTACAAAGATACTATCATCATCACCATTTTAATGATTCACCAAAACATAATTTCTTGCTTGATGATTTATATCTATCCTTGTTTTTATTCAGCAAATAATAATAATGTTACGTCTCCATTCGTTAGTTAATTTTCCATAAATTCTTTCCAATGAAACTATAGCGACACAAGTCCTTACTTAATAAAACTGGTTTATTCTTTCCGAATATAACTTTACGATACACTTAATTTCAACAATCGTGCTAAAACAAACGCTATAGCAACGAACGTGCTCAACTTCAATAATACTCTCTGACTGTTACTCACTGTCTACACACATTATTGTCACATCACGCCATGACCATCTTGTATATACCAGCCACCCCCAATCTACTAAATGCTAGAGCACTCCCGAAGGAACGGGATAGTTCTAGAAAGCAGGTGGCGTGACACTAGTCACGTGACCTCGCTGACGCAACACTGCCCCCTCTTTAGTATTGTTCGGGACGAACAAAAACCGCATATAATAAACCAATAACACTAACTTAATTAAAATTTACAGAATTACAAACACAAAATTACAATTCAACAAAGTCTCTTAATTTTACGGGACGTATCTTCTTCCGTACTGGTCTCCGTCTCGTTGGCTTCTGCTTCATGTGGGGTTAATATGCTTCATCAGTAAATGTCCTATCATAGGTAACAGTCACATCAGTGGTAGTAACTTCATCAAGAGCTTCACTGTTTCCCTTCTCAAAACTGAGTAGAGTTACTTCTTCGATGTTGGCTTTTTCAGGTGACACCTCTTCAGCAGCGTCATTTGTTCCTTTGTTCACCTCGTCCCAACTGAAATGTCCTGGACCATGATAACGCCAAAGCCTGTTGGCATGCACCACTTTTGGCTTGTCCTATAGGCCATCAACAGTGGAGGAAGTAAGACATCCCAGTCATCTTGGCAACTATTACAAAACTTTGCCAATTCCTGTCCCAGTGTACAGTTGTACTTTTCTACCATCCCATCAGACTGTGGGTGAAGTGGCTTTGTCCTGGTCTTCGGTATGCCAAACAACTTGCAGCATTCTTGG